GATGTTTGCAAAAACATGGGATGTGTCAACTCATGGGTATAACCCATGCGGTGGCGATTGCGATGCATGCTTGGCGTTGGCTGGTGCGTCTCTGCGGTCGCGCCAGCGCCATCGACGCGGCCGCGGTGGCGATGACCGCTGGGCACATCCCAGCGGGCACATCCTTGCGAGTCGGCGACTCGGTGCGCGGTTTCATACGGTAGACACGATTAACCCTGTGCCCCAGATAATAATCCCGCAGGGATGATAAAGTTCGGGGGTCTGGCGGGGATAATCAACACTTTTCCCGGGGAGCGATGTTAGCTATACGTTAGGATGATGATGGCGATGATGATGGTGATGGTGATGATGATGAGGAGGAGGATGATGATGATGATACTGATGTTGATCATGGGCGCTCGTGTAGACTCACCTTGTGGACCCTGTAGGGCCATGATGATGGCCCTGCCACACGTTCCTGACTCGGGCCCTGCGGCCCTGCGGCACGTTCGTGACTTGGGAAACTGAACTGGTGAGAACCCCACAACCCAGCCACACGCTCGTTATTGTGGAAGCTGATATGGTGAGACCACCATGGCCACGCTCAGCGCTTTTGATGCTGATGCTAATCGACATGAGGCGATAGCAACTTCGATTCGCAACTTCCCCAGGGGATTCTCAAATTCGGCCCCCGCGCCCTTCTCCACAACTAAATCCTAGAATCCAAATGAAAAAGGATGCACTCAAACATCGGGGGAAAAGGGGGGGTATGATGGATTATCCAGGGCACTCGGTTCTGATAGTGGCGATGCTGGTGACAATGTTCGCACCGACTTTGGCGCGGCCAGTGCGGGGCGGGCGCCGATGCTGATCACGCCGACGACGATGACGGCGTCAGCGCGTCGGTGATGAAGGTCGTGGAAAGAATTCGAAATGCGCGCGCGGCCGACGCGCGAGAGAGGCCCGCATGATTTCATGTGGCACGGATCGTGCCCCCCAGCACGCGCGCAAAGGGCGCGCGAATGATGTCGGCATGCGGCGCCAAAGGCCCGCTTGGCAGAATCCCATGGATCTGTTGAGCACACGGATGGTTGTTTTAAGAATTTGGGAGAGCGCGCGCGCGAGCTCAAACAACAAAAAATGTTGTTGCGAAACCGTTCGATTTGTCCACGTTTTTTGAAAACTCTGCTTTGCAATCGCTACGAAACCAAACACATTTAAAGGATTCCAGCATCCGCGCCCGACGACGCGCGCGTGCATTTCGTCAAATTTGTAGCAAAAGGGTTCTCGAGACAGCACGCGCGCAAAGGCGTTCGAACGATTTCGACGTGCGCGCGCGAAGCGAGATTGGTAGTATGTTCTGTACGTGTTGCAAAACCATGGTTTTTGTTCGAGAATTCGCAGGAGCGCGCGCGCACGTCTTTTGAATATATAAAAAACATCCGCGTTGCGACGTCACGTGATGTTGATGTTTTTTTACACTCGATGTTGGAATCCTTCCGAAACCGAGGAGTTGTTGAAAGATTCCAGCATGCACGCGCGACGACTCGGGCGTGCGCACTTCGTCTCATGTGTTGCAAGGGACCGGGCGTGCGCACTACCGCGCGCATAAGAGTTTGTTGCAGAAGATGAAGGGGGGGTCGATACCGGCGGGGCTTGAATGGTACGAACTCATATCTAGGATGGACGATGGGGCACAATCGAATGTAAATTGCGTCATAAAAATGTACCGATAAAGCTGGGGTATCTTCTTTGTTTTTAGAAATGAATGAGAATATACGTGGTGCAATCATTACCCGTAACATGGTTTGCAAAACCCATGCGGCGGCAATTGCGATGAGTGCTTGGCGTTGGCTGCATCTCTGCGGCCGCGCTAGCCCGCGCATGCTCGCGCGCACAACGGCCAGCCATTGCGGCGCGACCGACGCGGCCACGGGGGCGCTGAGCGCTGGGCCTTTCACAGCGAGCACGTCAGTGCGAGTCGGTGATTCGGGCGGGCGCGGTATCGTGGCGACGCCAGCAACGGTAGACACGATTGTAAAGTAGCGAAGATGGTGACGACGGTGGCGATGACGGCAAGGCCAATGACGGCACCGATGCTGATCACCCCTGCCGATAACGATGACGATGTCCTCGCGTCGGCCATGAAGGTTTTAGAAGGCGTTCGACATGCGCGCGCGGCCGACGCACGCGAATGGCACGCGTGGTATCTTTTGATAGGGGTCGTGCCCCCCCCCCCCCCCGCCCTCGCGCAAGGGCGTTCGAATGAGTCCGACATGCGGCGCGGGAGGCCCGCTTGGCAGAATTTCGTGAACATCTTGGAAACCGATGGTTGCCTTCAGAACCTGCAAGAGCGCGAGCGCAAGATTATGTGAAAACTGATGTTGCAAAACCGTATGTATTTTTATATGCTCCGGGGCACTCTGTTTTTATAGATGTTGAAACCCGTACGACACCAACGGATCTTCAAGTTTTCGGGCATGCTCGCGCGACGACGCGCGCGCGTGCACTCCCTCCATGTTTTGCAAGGGTTTCTTGTGACAGCACGCGCGCATGGGAGTTCGAACAATGTCGACAAGCGAGCGCGAGAGGCCACTTTGGAAGCATTGTATGCACGTATTGAAAAACCGATGTTTTGTTTTAGAATTCGCAAGAGCGCGGGCGAAACGTTTTTGTTGGGGGAAATCGTATTGGAAAACCATGTGTGTTTTTATGTTCTCGTGACGCTCGGCTTTGAAATCCTTGCGAAGCCCGATGCTATTCGAGGATTTCGGCATGCGGGCGCGACGACGGGCGCGCGCGTGAACTTCGTTCTATCTGTTGCAAGGATGCGATAATGAAACGAGAGCGCGCACATAGGATGTGTCAGACAGATTGGCGGGGGGGGTCGACGCCGGCATGGCTGGGATGGTACGAGCTCAAATTTAGGATGGCCGATGGGGCAACATCAGATGTAAATTGCCAAACGAGAAAAAAAAAAAAAGAAGCGGTTCAGTGCGGGAGGGAGGTAGACCCTAATTCTTGGTTTAGAAGAGGTGTAGCGCAATGTATATGATGCTATCCTTGTGGCGGCGACGACGCGACTGCGACCACGGGTACCCCAGACCGACCCCGAGGCCTTGACCTTGAAGACGGGCAGCGACGAGGCGGCGACGGCGACCACGGAGCCGCCAGACCGACCCCCAGGCCCAGGCGATGGGCGGCGACGAGGCGGCGACGGCGACCACGGAGCCGCCAGACCGACCCCGAAGCCCAATTCCCTTAAAGCAAGACGTGAAAAGCCGTAAGTGCAAGCGCTTGCTGCAGAGATTCCTGCGACCTCCGAGGAATTTTCTCTTTACGAAGTTCTTCGGAAGGAGAAGGATGAGGAGGAGGAGGTGAAGGAGGAGGAGGAGAAGGATGAGGAGGAGGAGGAGGAGGAGGAGGAGGGGGAGGAGGAGGAAGAGGAGGGGGGAGGAGGGGGACGAGAAGAAGGGGAAGGGAGAGGAGGAACAAAAGGGGTGGAGACGACGACCGTGGGACAAGCGGCCCCCGATGCTTCCCTACGTTTGTGGCACTCGGCGTGGGCTTACGTCAATGGCCACTGACGGAAACCCCCTGGATCCAAGAACCTGGTGTGTGGCTGAGCAGTCAGGCTCGCAGCCTGAGGGCTCCAAGAGCACGCACACCTAGCCCTGGCACTACTTCGGGTTGGCGAAGCCACGCCCCCTCCTCCCTGCACTCGTCCAAGAAGATGGCGCTGGTGCTGCCGAAACTGACATCTCTCGGGGCCGATCCCTTCGGGAGCGGCCAAGAGGGGGGTGTCCAAGAGAGGGGGGTGCAAATCATGACCAGCGGCATGTGCGCGGCCCCGCGGGGGGACCAGGGGCGTAATGAAATAAGAAGAGGCGCCATGAAATCTGAGGAAATATCGTGGCCCCCGCCATGATATCCCCCCCTAGTCGTCACCCCCTCTCTTTGCCGCCCCCGATCCCTCTGCCTCCGCCAGAATCCGCCGGTTTCCCGCTTGCGGGACAGAACCCGTTCTGCTTCCCGCCTGCCTTCCTCTGGCGAAGAGGTGCCGATAGCCTCGGGATCCGTCGAAGGCGCGGTTCCCCCGTCTGGGGGGGGAACAGCCCCCCCTGCAGAATGACACCCCTCGGAGCCCCAATTGGGCGTTTCTTGAGCTTAGGGCTCGGACCTGTGTCGTTGCTGTAGGCGCCATTTATTGGATGACTGACTTGGGCTTCTCTGGGGCCAACGTCGAACGGATGCGGTCGGTTGCGGAGTTCTTGGGGGCCCTCGCAATTCCCTGGGTGCTCCTCGGGGACTTCAGCATTCCTGCGGCCCTGGGGGCCAGACCCCGCGGGCGCAGTGGAGCAGGGACCGACCGTCCTGGCCTTCGTACAGGCCTACCACGACGCGCTTTCAGAACGGAAAGGTGCGATAAGGGCAGAAAACCGTATTCCTAGAACAACTAAGGCCGACTGGTTCGAAGAAGACTATCTCAGCCCGAAGTGATTTAAGAACATGTCATGCAAATAACAAAAGGATACATGATTAGACCATTCCTTGGTAAGCGTATACTAGGAGGGTCCAGACGCTTCGCCTCTGCTTGACGCAAGTCCAAAACCCCAGCTGGCCCACCTCTCCTCGAGAAGACATACCCCGCAGGGGAATTCGCCAATCGACCTGGCAGGGATGGGCTTCATCGGTCCCAAAACTCTGGGCCGCTGGAGAAGCACAGACCCCCCGGGCCATGACTTTTTCTTGGCAAACTTTCCAGCTCCACTACCACATGTAGGACGGGGGAGAAGAAAGGATGAGAGTGTCCTCCTCCTCCTCCTCCTCCTCCTCCTCCTCGCCCTCCCCCTCCCTCTCCTAGCTATGGTAAGTTACGGCCCCAGGGCCCAGCAAGGATCCCTGGAGCCAGATGCCAGCAACAAGCCGGCCGTCACAATTTTCGCACGACGCGAAGGGGTCTGGGTGTGATAGGCGCGGCCGCACGGGAGGGCGCGGCAGCAGACGAGGGCGCGGGCGGCCTTGAACGTCTCCTTGGTCACGGGCGTGCCGCCTGACCCCGCGCCGCTGGGCCCCTGCTCAAGCGCTCTCCTCCTCTGCCTCCTCCTGCGCCTTCCCTTCCCCTTCCTCGTCCCGCTCCTCCTCCGAATGTGTGCAAACAAATGTGGAACAAGTCACGGAGGCAAATTGAAAACAAACTTTTCCCAGCGCTTCAGAACACAAGTCCGGGGCAACTCGGATTGCTGGGGCGACATCCCCGCGAACACGTAGGCACTCCGCACTCCGGGACTTCAGTGGAAAATGATCCACAAGACATCTAACGTTCAAAAACCCGACCCCGAGATACGCCCAGGTTTCCTGGCCCAGGGCTGGGTGTCTTGCACTTCGGCTGGAAACGCAGAAACCCAGGACACCCTGACCCCAGCGGTTTTGAGCGCTTGCATATAATACGTGACACACCAAAAATCAAGACGATCGAGAGTGCTGGCTTCGGGCGTTGCACATACGGAAAGATGACGACATCTCCCCGCCCCAAAAATAGGGGGACCATTTGACATTGTCTGGGGTAGGCGAAAAACCCAAGGCACCAACGATGCGATCCAATTTCTTGGATTGCCCCAGCGCTCCCACGTCGCACCAACGAGCCCACACAGACAAGTGCGTCGCACTGGAAAGAACAACCAAACTGGCGGGCGAAGAAACTCAGGATACCGTGAAAGCCTCCCACTTTCACGACTTAATCAGCCTGACCTTCATCGAAAACCACCTATGTTTCGAATACGCATGGCGCAGACCAACTGATCCACCCCTCTTTCAGGCCTCAACATGATATGGCACATTGTGACACGATACATCTTCCTGGCGCGCACCAACGTGCACCAGGCGAACAGAAAGTTGTAATGGCCAACTCAACTCAACATCAACACCTGAATTGTGAAAACAAGCGTTTCCACTCGCATTCGTGGCCTCAACATGATATGCATAGTCGTGACACAACACACTTGTCTTGTTGTGCGGGCTCGTGCGCCACGTGATAATCAATTGGGAATGGCAAACTTCACTTCGAAAACTGAGTAGTGAAAGCCAACTGTTTCACTCACATTCTAGGTAAAGCCATACGCCCTAGGGCGCGTCGGCGGCGATTCAAGCACTCAAGCGATTGTAAAATCACTGTGCATCTAGAAGCTCCTGTGCTCCTCCGCTTCCGCAGACACGAACGGTGTGCAGAGTCGGGAGCGGCCAAGAAGGGGGTGTCCAAGAGGGGGGGGTGCAAATCATGACGGACGGCATGTGCGCGGCCCCGCGGGGGGGCCAGGGACGTGATGAAACAAGAAGAGGCGCCATGAATCAAATCTGGGGAGATATCAGGGCCCCCGCCATGATATCCAGCCCCCCCCCCTAGTCCTCACCCCCCTCCTTGCCGCCCCCGAGAACGGTGTGCAGAGGAGGCGCCTGGTCCCAGCCTCTGCCGCCTCTCCTCGATGATCTCCTCTATGGACCTTTCGTCCGGGGCTGTCTCGGCGTCCACGTCCTGGGGCGGCCACTGGGCCCCGGGAGCGCGCAGGTAAAGGGAAGGGAGGAGGAGGAGGAGGAGGAGGAGGAGGAGGGAGAGATGGGAGGAGGGGAAGGGGAGTAGGGAAGGGAAGAGGAGGGGAAAGGAGGAGCAGGAGGACAGGGTGGAGGGGGAGTGGGAGTGGGAGAGGGGAGGCAGGCAAGAGGCAAGAGGCAAGAAGCAACTCCCAATTGGCCCACGAGGACGGACGCGCGCGGGGCCGGAAGGAGGCACTGCGGCGCGGCTCATTTAGTCGCCTTGCACGTATAACTTCGCGACACTTCCTCGTTCTGACGTTCTCCAATTGCCTCTACCGCCGTGGTGTCTTCGTACCGTCGCTGCAAGATCGTCGGCACCCCTCCGTTTGAGTCTTCATGCTGACCTCTGTGCTGGCCATGGTAGCGCGGCCGGATCCCACTGGAGGACCGCATGGCTCCATGTGTGCTTGTATTTGGGGGAATGGGGGGGAAGGTTTTTGTCCCAACCACCCAGCCACACTGTGTTGAGTAGGGACCTCGTTTTGAGTCAGCGGCACTGGGCGTCTTCCCTCCGTCCCTCCTTCGTTGCCTCCTACTGCCCCTACTCCCTCATCTCTCCCACCACCCCACTTTGGCACACCCCTCACCCGTTTCGTCGCCCCTTAGGGAGCTCCACCTAAGGCTCCTGTGGTTGCACCCGCATGCTGCCACCACCCCACTTTGGCACATCCCTCACACGTTTCGCGGCCCCTTAGGGAGCTCCATCTACGGCCTTAATGGTTGTGCCCGCACGCCGCCACCACCCCACGTTGGCGCGCCCCTCACACGTTTCGTGGCCGGGAGCTCCACCTAAGGCTCGAGTGGTTGCGCCCGCATGCCGCCACCACCCTACTTTGGCGCACCGCTCACACGCTACGTGGCCAGAAGCTCCACCGAAGGCCCCAGTGTTTGCGCCCGCATGACGCCACCACCCCACTTTGGCGCACCCCTCACACGCTTCGTGGCTCCATAGGGAGTTCCATCGAAGGCTCCAGTGTTTGCGCCAGCATGCCGCCACCTTCCCACTTTGGGCGTACCCCTCACACGCTTAGAGAGCTCCACCTGAGGACCTAATGACGCCCGCATGCCGCCACCGCCCCGCTTTGCCACGCCCCTCACTCTTTTCGTGGCCCCATGGGGAGCTCCACTTAAAGCCCCAGTGTTTGCGCCCCCATGCCACCCACCACCGCACGTTGCCACACCCCTCACACGTTTCGTGGCCCCACAAGGAGCTCCATCTAAGGCCCCAGTGGTTGCGCTCGCATCTGTTCTCCAGACCATTTCGGCGCACCGCTCAGGCGTTTCGTGGCCCTATATAGGGAGGTCCACCGAAGGCTCCTGTGGCAAGAATTGTATGCGTGACCGCCCGCATTTCGGCACACCGCTCACACGTAGCCCCATAAGGAGCTCCCCCTAAAGCCTCATTGGCAGGAACTTCCTGCATGACCGTGCCCATATCGGCACCCCTCACACAGTTCGCAGCCCCTGAGGGAGCTTCACCTGAGGCCCCAGTGGTTGCGCCCGCATGCTGCCACCACCCAACGTTGGCACACCTCTGCCACGTTTCGCGGCCCCTTAGGGAGCTCCATCTAGAGACGCGATGGTTGCGCCCGCATGCCGCCACCACCACCCTACGTTGGCGCACCCATCACGCGTGTTGTGGCCCCACAGGGAGCTCTATCGAAGGCCCCACTGGTTGCGTTCGCATCTGTTCTCCAGACAAGCTCGGCGCACCGCTCAGACGCTGCGTGGCCCAATAAGGAGGTCAACCGAAAGCTTCTGTGGCAAGAATTGTATGCGCATTTCAGCGGACCCTTCACGTGGCCCTATAAGGAGCTCCTCCTAAGACCTCATTGGCAGGAATCTCCTGCATGACCGTGCCCATATCAACACACCCCTCACACGTTTCGTGGCCCCGAGCTCCGCCTACGGTCCCAGTGGCTTATTTCGCATGCCTTTTCCAGACCATTTTGGCGCACCGCTCAGACGCTTCGCGCCCGAATAGGGAGCTCCATCGAAGGCTCGCATGGCAGGAATCACATGCGTGCCCGCGCCCATTTTGGCACACCCCTCGCACGCTTCGTGGCCCCATAGGGAGCTCTACCGAATGCCCCATCGGCAGAAATCGCATGCGCGACCGCGCCCATTTTGGCACACCCCTGGCAAGTTTCGTAATCCCATAGGAGCTCCGCCAAAGGCCCCGCTGCCTGCTGCTCCCCAAACCGCGCTATGCTGCTCCCCAAGGCAGGGCCGACAGATCAGCAATGACGGGTTACATGCAAATGTAGCCTGTTGCGGCTGACACCTGCGACCCCATCAGCGACGCCGCTCCGTCCTTCTCACGCACGCCATAATCCTGTTGTGCTCTCCCCCCGCCTCAAGTTCCATCTGTCTTGCGGTACTCGCAGCTGCAGATGGTTGGGTCCTGCGCCAGGTTAATTTGACTAGGAACGGTGCCTGCAGACTCCTGCAGGGGAAAGCACCAGAGGTGCGAGTCTAGATGCCTCCTAGATGCGGTTGGAGTAGATGGGGTCGGTGGATCGCGCCGCATCGGCGATACATCGGCGATGCATCGGCAATACAGCGGCGATGCACGGGCAATGCGTCGGCGACCCCTGGCGATGCATCGTCTACTTGGGCGATGAATCGGCGACGTCCGCGTGCAGGAAATCGGGCTCTGCATCGAGCCGCATCGGCGATGCATCGGCGATGCGGCGCGATCCTCCGACCCCATCTGCTCCGACCACATCTAGGAGGCCCAGATAGTAATCCAACACATATCCAGGGGCACAGCGCCAGAGGCGGCGTCCCGCTGCAAAGCTTCAGCAACGGAGAGATGGCTGGGGACTCAGAGTTCTCCACCTCTGGGCTGATGGGTTCATACAATCATTCCTGGTAACTTCGATCGAAGGCCTCCCTCTAATGCATAATGACCTCAGCACAGAAGCAGCAAGCAGGCTTGGAGAGACAACCAGCTCTCTCGGTGCCCTGGTCCTCCCCCCCACCCACCCGCATGCTCCTCCTCATCCCTTCCCCCCCGTCCTCAATCATACGTGTGTACGTGTGACTGTGCAGATCGCACGTATGCATCGTGTACATGTCTATATAAAACCGTGTCACGCCAAAATGCTAGTGATGAGTGTAACTTCTGGAATGCAATGTAGCCTCACACTCAGGAGTTATCACGTGAACGGAGGCTCTACGATTCTTCTAGGCAGTTTGAACATCAACACTAAGATAACTCGTCTAGCTCTTCTAACTAGCCGAACACGTCCACAGCTGCCTCTCCAGCCCCGTGTTAGTCCTCCTCGTGCTCTCCCTCCAAATACTCCTCCTCCTCCTCCACCTCCATTCTCGTTCTCCCATCTTCATTCACACCTTTCCCTCATCCGTATCCTCCTCGTTCTCTTCCTCCGACGCCCCCTGGCTAACAACCTTCTGAACCTCGTCCTCCCCCTCCTCTTCCTCCTCGTCCTCCTGCTCCTGCTCCTGCTCCTCCTCCTCCTCCTTCCCCTTCCTTTGCCGCTGTTCCACTAACGTTTTCGGGATTACTCTGGGACCTGTGGCCTTTGGGGGCATCTGACAGCCTCTGGGAAAGCTGCTGGGAAGCACTGGGAAACCCTGGCAGGCCCATGGAGGCCGTGGAAAGTCCTGGGAGTCTCTGCGGGATGAAGCTCGTCTGCGCGCTCGCGTGCGCGAGCGACAAACTGACATGCGCGCGCACACACACACCACAAATACACACACACGCACACATAACTACATACACGCACGCACACATAACTATAAACACAGACACAAGCACATTGCTTACCCCGTCGCGCTGATGATGGTAGACGGCGGGCAGCACGATCACCGGCGTGATGCGCGACCACGGCGCTGGCCGCGGAAGGCGAGATCGCGCGCACATACACAGAGACATATGCACACACACACACGCGCGCGCACTCACGCACACACACACACACACTTGCTCCACGAATCGCTGCCTCTACACACGCGTCCCTAGCGTTGTGGCGGATGAAAAGACGAGAATCTGCCGAGTCGAGCAGACCCCGCACACACATGGTTCACGAAAAATACTGCCTCCACACTCGGTTCCCGAGGGCGGTGTTGGATGAAGGGAAAAGTTCTGTCGAGTCCATGGTGGCACGCATACAGACAAATAGAAATACGTGCGCGCGGAAGAAAGCAATACCCCCAGGCGGCAGTTGTCCTCTTTGCAGCGGAGTGTTGGATTGGTGCTATCCTCGTCGTCTATCCAGAAGACGTTTTTCTGCGCCTCTCGCTGGGGCAGTGCATGGAGAGCATGAGCACCGGGGAGGAATGGCGGAGCTGACAGAAATCCGCTGGAAACCCTTGCCAAGCAACAGGCTGCGAGGAGCACATTCGCTTTGCAATGGGCATGATTGCACGGGAAGGGAAGGTTCAATACAAGCTGGCCATCACGCAAATATGACTTACAAAGTTTCCCGCTGGCTGGTCATCCAGGAGGCCTGATGTGCCCATGTCAGCAAGACAGGGCACGTGTATGTGTTCGGCCAGCACGGTGCCACTGCCGAACAGGGCCTCCGTGATTTCGTGCGTGACCCTCCTATTAGGGAGCCCACAAAGGACGTACGCGCCCAGCTATGTACATGAACACGGCCCCTTGACCCTCGAGAACTGCCGCGCGATACGAACATTCGCGCAATGCGAACTCTCGAAACCAGCGTGGATTCATGTACATACATGTACGTCCTTCTTTCGCTCCTGACCTATGATGGCACCCCTGGCAGTGCGCTCTCAGGCCCAGGCAACCTGGGGCCTGACAGAACCTCCCGACCTCGCCCGCGGTCGACCGCGCCCTCCCGTGACATCGCATGGCCCACCGGAGGCGAGGGCCACCGGGTGCCTCCAAGCAGGCACCCAGTAGTGCACTTGGGGGAGCGAGGAGCCTTTGAGCGCCCGAAGTTCCTTGCGCTTCGAACCGAACCCAAATGTTCTCCCCCCCTCCCTCCCGAATGAGATTCCCGAGAAGGCCTGACTGAGGCCCACGGACATCTCAAACACACCTGCCTTCAAGCCACGGTCTCATCAAAGTCGGGGCTGGCGGCACAGGGCCGTGACCTCCAGACCCTGTAGAGATCGACGCCCCTTACGATGTGACCATTGCAGGGCTGGGCGTGCCAATCCTGCGTCAACTTCATCGTCTACCTCTCCGACGTCTCTCCACAAGCGCTTTCCACTCTCTGTCGCACCCCCTCTGACTATCGGGCCCTCGAGAACAGCGGGCCACGAGGGGCGGCTGCGACTCGCTGAAGGCGTCCTCTGTGCCCTGATCCTCCTCCTCACCCGGCTCGTCGTACTCCTCCTCCTCCTATCCCCTCCTCTTCCTCTCGGCTGTCCTCAGCGGCGCGCCCCGGGGCGAAGTGAGAAGGAAAAGGCCTTCTCAGAAGGCTCGGAAGTCCCCGGCCTTCTGGGAAGTTCTCTAAGCCTTCCCCGAAGACGCAGAAGTCTTCTAAGAAGGCGCGAGGGCTTCTGAGAAGTCCTGCCACCTTCTGAGAAGGCCTTCTCTTTCTCACTTCCCCCCCTAGCTCGCCGCCGATGTTGGTCAACGGAGGGCAACACACGTGGGGGGGGGGAGAAACGTTCCCCTTTCGTGCACCTCGTGGGCCGGCCGTGGCATTTCAGGGGCCGCTTGGGGCTCCGTTGTAGGGCCTCTCTCCTGGAATCCTTGCTGCCCCACGTTTATGGCCCCCGCCACTGTTGCCGTCCGCTCGGAGGCATCTTCCTCCTTACCTGTCTCATCCCCCCCCCTGCGCGCTCCCCTTCTCATGTCAGAGCCTATACTTCGCTTCTTTTCCATCCCAGCATCCCAGCCTCCTCCTCCTCGTCCTCCCCATCCTTTCCTGTACGGTCCTCTGCGGGGGATGCTGTCTGAGCCACCTTCCTACAATCAGTGCGAAAACTCAGGGGGTGGGCCAACGTTTTGGGCTCCCTCGCATGCATGACCGGGCGGGCAGTTCCAAGGCCGCATATTATGCGAGGAGCTGGGCAGAGTTCCAAAGCTCTTCCCACAGGCCGTCTGACTCCTCCTCGCCCCCTCTGTCTCCTCCTACACTTCTCCAACTCCTGCTCCCCCTCTTCCTTTTCTGTCTCCTCGCGCTGCTCCTCCCCGTATTTCCCGTCCTCCGTTTCCTCCACCTCTTCTCCCTCCTGCCCATCATCGTCATCATCAGCATCAGCATCAGCATCAGCATCAGCATCAGCAGCGGCATCAGCATCGGCATCGGCATCAGCATCGGCATCGGCATCAGCATCATCATCAGCATCATCAGCATCATCAGCATCATCATCATCATCATCATCATCACCATCATCAGCAGCAGCATCATCATCCTCATCAGCATCAGCATCAGCATCAGCAGCATCAGCATCATCATCATCATCATCATCATCATCATCATCATCGTCATCATCATCATCAGCAGTTTCATCAGCAGCAGCATATTCATCATCATCATCAACATAATCATCATCATCAGCATCATCATCATAATCATCATCATCATCATCATCATCATCATCATCAGCATCATCATCACCAGCATCAGCATCAGCAGCAGCATCATCATCATCAGCAGCAGCAGCAACATCCTCATCACCATCATTGTCAGCAGCATCATCAGCACAATCAGCATCACCACCATCATGATCATCTTCCTCCTGCTCATACCTCCTCGCCCTCCTGCTCTTCCTGCCCTTCCTCCTACTCCACCTCCTTCCGATCTCCCGCTCCCTCCCCGCCCCCAGGCCATACTCTCCTGCTATGGTCCTGTCCACTCATCGAGTCATCCCCATACCCCCGCCGTATCTTCTCCTCGTGCAAATCCCTCCACCTCCTCCTCCTCCTCCTCCTCTGCCTTCTCATTCTCCTCCTCTTCCTCCACCTCCGCCTCCTCCACATCCTGCTCCTCCTCCTTCTTTCCCTCCTCCTCCTCCTCCTCCTCCTCCGTAGCCATTTTGGCTCAAGATGCCTTCTTTGCGGGCTGAGCCCGCATTGGCAGAACTGGATACCGCTAGTCCGCGGCAGTGCCAGGGTGCTTGCGCCCGACATCCTCTTCGCGAGGACTGGTCCGCCCCAGTCCCTCGCCTGCCCCCTTCACTGGGAGAGCAGCCTCTCTCGCGGCGGCCATGGGAGGCGGCGGCAAGAAGGGCGGTGGCAGGAAAGGCCTCGGCGGTGGTCGCTCGGCTCCATCGGCAGGGGCCACGACGTACATCGCCTGCACGGCCTGCAGGTTCCGCTGGAACTTCAAGAACAACCACTGGTGTTACCAGTGCGGCGGCGCCCTGGTACCGAGCCCCTCGGAGGACAAGCGGCCTCGCGGCCAGTGGGTCTGGGGCCCGCCGCAGGCAGGCGCAGCGCCTCCTCCTGAGGCAGAGACTGCTGCCGACGCCCCTGCGGCCCCACCCTGGGCCCAGGCGGGAGGCAAGGGCGCCAAGGGACCGCCTCCGCCTCGGCCCGCGCCGAAGGCCCAGGCCGTCCAAGGCCGGCCTTGGGTCTATCAACAGGCGGGCTGGGTGCCTCAAGGCGGCCGCGCGGGACAGCAGCAGCCCTCCCAGCCTGCAGACCCGTTTGTGTTCTTCGAAAAGGAGCTCGGCTCGGACTGCGACGAGCTGCTCAAGCTCAAAGCGGCGGTGCAGGCCAAGAAGGAGGCCCAGGCAGCCGCTGCTGGCGCGGGCGCCCCTCAGAAGGCGCCATTCCTTGAGGAGGAAGTGCGGGCCAAAGGTGTGGCCTGCAGGAGGGCGCTGGCATGGCTTGAGACCTGCGCTGCCCGCGTCTTGGAGGGCGAGCAGTGGCTGGCCGACGCCCAGGCCGCTGAGGACGAGGCGGCCGCCAGCGCTCACGCTGCGCAGCAGGACTGGGAGGCGGCCTGTGCCAAGCAGGTCAAGGCCAAAGCGGCGCCGCCTTCAGCGCCGCCACCCACTTTTTCGGCGATCAACCTGTCGACGCTCGTTGATGAGGGCTCGCTGCAGATCGTGGACGGGCCGCTTTTCGACCTCTCGGGCTTGGAGCTCGACGAGCAGGCGCGCGTCGATTGGGAGCGCATCAAGCAGGAGCTGGCCGACAGCGTCCAGACCAAGGTCCAGGAAGTCCTTGGACCCTCGGCGCAGCGCATCCTGGAGCTGCGGGAGGAGGCTCGGAAGCTTCGCGCCAGGGAGGAGGCCAAGCGCAGGCGCGTGGACGGCAGCGACGCGGCTGGGTCTGCTGCTGGCCCCGCTGCTGCTGCTGTTCCTGGTGGGGCCGCGTCCGCAGGCGCCGCTGCGGCAGCAGGAGCTCCTGCTGGGGCCGAGGCCATGCGCGCCGCGGCCAGAGCCAAGGCCAAGTCTGCCCAGGACGAGCTTAATGCTCAGCAGGAGGCCGCCGCCTCCTTCGCAGAGCCCGCTCCTGGCGCCGCCCCCTCCCCTGCAGCCCCAGGGGCTCCGTCCACAGCCTAACGCAGAGCTAGGGGCGCCGCGCCGAGTTCCTTCGGCATGCTGTTACGGCGGGCGCCCCTGGCCCTACCCCGTCGAGTTCTTCCTCGACGCGGATGAGGAGCGCGCCTTCGGAAGCGATCCGCCTACAGCACCGTTGGAGGTGCGCAGCACGCCGACTGCGGCTCCAGGCTCGGCGTCACCAACCCCGCAGGCGAGACGTTCGTCTCCGTCGCGTTCGGCGTCGCGCGGTCCTTCGCCATCCCCGAGTGCGAGGATTTCGGCCACTCGCACTTCTGCGAGCGCCTCGGGTCAAGCCTCGCTGACGGGTGCGCTTGGCGGGCTGGCGTATGCTGCCCTTAATGACAGCCCTCCCCCGAGGGCTGCGCCTCGCGCATCTACGGCACCGCAGGCCTCTGTCCCTGCCTCGCCGAGCGGCCCAGGTCAAGGCGCTGCTGTCGCGCACACGGCGCACCTGTGCGACGCCGAGCTGGACCCGTTCGAGGAGCTGGCGCTGGAGGAGGTCATCGACCGCTCCCCCCAGGACTTGCCGTTCGAGGCGGAGGTTGGCCCCTCGCCGCCAGGCGTCACCGCCAGCCCACCAGAGGTTAGCGCGGACCTGGCTGCCTGCAGCAGCGCCCCTCCTTGCGCTGGGGCTGGCCTCGGCGCACCAGCAGCGCAGGCCTTGGCCGCTCCAGCCCCCTCCAAGCTTACCACCGACGAGAATGATTTCTCGATCCTTCATGGTAACATCACGGAGTGGGGGCCTCAAGCGCAGCGCTATGTCAACACAGCCCCTTACTCTGTTGATTGTCTGGTGGAGAC